CCCTTTTGATTCTGATTAGTGTTAATAATTAAAAAAAAATGGTTTTTCTCTTACCTTCTAGCTGTGGGAGAGGCTCTACAGAAACAGTAGCCTCGGTAATTCCAGCTTGGCCTTGTACACCAGCTCCTGCTAATTAGAAGCCCTAACTTGCTGCAAATTTGTGATACCTGTTATACTTATAAATTACGTGGCATCGACTATTTATTGGATTGAGCTTATTAAACTAAACAATTTGCATCACGTGCTCGACCCATACCCACGTGACCCATTTACATTTTCCTATATGTGTGAATTTCATTTACAATAAAGTATGATTTCTAACCCTATTCAAATTCTCTCTCCCTCTCTTGTACTATTTCTCTCGTCTAACAGTTGACTTGACTGTTGGAGTACAAATGGTCATCGGGCATTTTTCTCAACTGGCGGCCTTTGCCTCCTAACGGGGTGTTCCATTGTACAGGCGATGTCTACGTGGAGGGGAAGTGAAAGGAATTCTATTGACGCATTTAGTTTTGTAACATAGCAAGTATCAATTGTTTTGCAAGCAGCAGCATATCTTCTCTATCCATTTTCCCAAATTGTCCGACTTGTGAGGTTGCTAAGTAAATGATCCCTATCCTTTAGGGTGGATCTGAATCCACAGGAGAAATGCGTAATTTTTTGCAATGTTTGAAAACTTGAGTGAGAAAATTTATGAAAAAATGCAAAATTGAAAGGCTGGGTTTATGGTTGGAGGAGGCAAGAAATGCACCTTCAAATTTTCATAGGCCTACCATCAGGACAAATCACAATTTTATGTTTATGTTGAACTTTCTATTAATTCTACTTGGTTCATCAGAGCAAATATTTCAATCAAGTGTTTACAACGTTGAAATTCTAATACTTGTATGTTCTCATCAGCATCTGTTCTTTTAGTATTGTAGTTGTAAGACATAATACTAGTTGGTTTTTCTAATCCATGCATTGGCAATATCGACTTGATTTATAGCCCTGTTCAGTTCAAGCTCAAGCTACAAAAATTTAATAAAATCTAAGTCAACAACAATTCTTATGAGTTCCAAAACTTTTCAACTACATATTCCATCAATTTTATTAATATCTACTATAAATCAGATTTTTATCTAGACCAAACAGGGGCAAACTATTAGAATAATTATTTTCAATTCATTTAAACTATAATACATTGAAAAAATAAAAGTAAATAATATAGAAGTATCTGCGAAGCACATTGAAAAAAAGAAAGGAATCTACTATAAATCTTATGATGTATCACTCTGCTCTCTTTAAAACATGAACTGTGATGGTTTAATGAGCTGGTGTTCTTTTGCATGAAAGGGGGCTGAGTATATCCATTATTAACACGTATTCTATTCAAGTTTTTTAACCTTTGATCATCTCTCTTTCCCATATCAATGTCGAGGGCGAGGGCATTTTAGTTGTGTAATTTATAAATGCGCATTCTAAGTAAAATTACCCGTTCCAAAAAAAAATGGTAAAACACAAATTTGAAACTAAATGGAATAACATTTGAACAGAAGAAATGAACACAATCACACACATTTAAATGTACAAAACACACGATAGAGGCAAGTAATCCTCATAAAGGAAGAATGAGATTGATTGTGAAGAAGGGATATAATATGTACAGGAAATAGAATATCAAAAAGCATGAATATAATTACTTCAAATTGCAATTGGACAAAGTTAAGACTAAGGCACCAACCACGCATAACTTCGCAAAGAATAATAGCCATATGTAGACGACCACAACAAAATCCACTTGACATTGACCAAAAAGCATATAAAAATTCGAAAAAGAGCTTCAAATTGTATCATCTAGAGTGAAAATCATTTTTTTTCCTTATTTGCCTTCTCTAATATACGAACATTCCTTGCGGTTGTTATCATGCAATTCAGCAGGTCACAATAATATCTTAACAATATCTAATTTCACAAATACGTTTTATCAACAGAAGCACATGCACACAAACTGAATTTTATTCTAGATGTTGAGGCAATCTTATGGAGAATATGTAGCAGCCACACAAGAAAACTAGATGACTGTGTGCAATAGAGATAAATTACCTACAAGAATATACCAATTCATCGCTATGTAAATTAATTTTTCTTTTTCTCCTTTAAGAAATTCACAATAGAATGAATTCTATCAAAAGAGGTCTCTAGATACTTGTAAATAAATGCTTCGAAGCAAAGGAACGAATAATATCTTCCTACAATCTAGTCTCTAAGTTTTGACACCAGCTAAATTGAGCTTCATGTTTACGTAACTAAAAGCAATTCACTAATTTAACTAACCTTCATATACAGATAAAACCATCATTCCTTTCAGACTTCCTAAACTCCAAACTAATCCTATTAACCACTCCATTTGTACCACATATATTCTTCCTGCAATTACTCATCCAAAACCATCAACCACCACAACCAAATTCATTCACTCCCGGATTACTTTAATTAATAGAAGACCTAAGAATAGCAAAATCTATTCACGTCAAAAGAACGGCTCAAGAACACAACATTTACTCTGGCATAATCACACTTTAACTGCCATACATGCACTAGAAAAAGACATCAGAGAGAAAATATTAAGAAAAAAATCAGGATACATAAATAAAAAATAATTTATAATATTAACATACCCCAGGTAACCTCACAATTTAAGATGCATAGATCTTCCAGCAATGATTTGTAGAGGATATTAACCTGCTTTCACAGACAAGAACTAGAACAACATGGAATTGTCAAACTTAAAAGCAATAAACTAAAAGTGGGAGAAAGTTTGAAGCAGAAAACAAAGCAAATGGTCAACCACCTGAGTAATCGTTAGATAGAACAACACACAATGACAGTAAACAATTATTAAGAAGTTCAAACATAAAATAGAAATCAAATTTGAGAGGTCCGGATGCTCTAAAGTAAAAATAATCCTCCAAAAGACAGAAGATAGTCCTACAAAAGGAATAACTCTCTGAATGAGTACTGTAACACAAGGCTGGATGAACTGAACTTTGTGGCAACTCTCTGCAAAGGTCATAACAGTACAGCAAGGTTAAAGATGTGAGTCCCAAACTTCCAACAAGTAAGACATGGCAAGAGATAACAAATCAGGATGACAATTGCTCCAACAAACAGCCTGTCAAAATATTACAATCACGACAAAGAAACAAGTGTTATGATTCATGGGACAATAATTATGCAGTCTTGCATCAAAAGTGAAAATATGCATGTGTTTATTATCAAGCAGAAATATGAGATTAAAGAAAGCCCGATTCCAGTTAATGGGAGAGAAGGCGGACTGGCAACACAGATAGTTGTACCCAGTCAGAACATGCCTATCTGCACAACAACTTAAACAACAATTAAATGAGGCAAAACCAAAATATAATCTGCATAATGCTGTAGTCGTACTGGGCCCTTGTTTGAGCCCGGAGGAATGTATTTTGGAACAGTGATCTTTTGAAGAATGTGTGGTTAAAAAATAAGAAAAAGTTTTCGATTTAAGTGTAGAATTATTTTATTGGAGAACGTGTGGTTGAAAATGAGTTTTGAAAAAAAATGAGTTTTTGGAAAATGGGGCTCAAACAAGGGCTGAATTAGGTTCTCATCTTCTCATCAGACAAAAAAGAAACTTTGTTAAACAATGGATATAAGAGAGAACAAATACAGGCTACTTCCAAGTTCAGTGAAAAAAAAGTTCGAGTCATGATAATAAAAAGAAATTAGTAACTAACGGAAATTGCCAAAGTCCAGAGTGAACTTAAGAGTCAAACTACAGCCAGAGGCATATATACACAGTTCCAATAAAGAACATTTCTCCAAGAAACTATAGCTTTATCCGCTTCTATAATCTCTTGCCCGTGAATGCCCCATGTCACTGGTAAGAGTCAAATCAATCACTTCGCAAACCAGGGAACCTACTCTAGCAGAATTATCATGTCCTCAATTGGACACCTGCTCACCCCAAAAATAGAAAAACTACAATTCTACAAACTAAGCCTAATTATCAAATCTGGAGTTAGTTACGTGAATAATTTTCGCTAATGAAAGATACAATCAATTAAATATTTTTGCAACCAGATCAATCTAGTATCTACCTCTCGATCTTCTAACACGGCAACTCGGACGGACCGCATCATTCTCGTAACTAAGGACTTCTTTAGATCCACTCATGATTGTAGCAACTACCTAAGTCGTCCTACCAATATTTTAACGTCCCCATTTTACTATGTTCCTATTTAACATTAAAAGTTGAAAAGAAAAAGTAAGTCCATTATGAAGAATGGTTCGACAAAACTTGAAAAAATCAGATTACTCCATAGGTGTTCTGAAACTTCAACTCCCTCTCACCAAAACTCAGACACAAAAAGGAGGAAAAAAAATTAAAAAAGGTAAAAAGTGAAAGGTTGCAGTAATTTTTTGTTCTTTCCTCTTGCTAGAGAAGAAAACTTATTTTGCTCTTCGCATATTATTGGCCTATGAACATGTGTTAAACTCACATCACAGTTGACAATCGTGGTAAAAAGATGTGAGATTTACTTGGTTCACTTTTCTTGTCTACCCAATTCCCTCATTGTAATCTCCAGCCATCCTTTACCACATGGACAACATAAGTTTCAGATCAATGGGTGTTGGAACCCTTGTAAAGACAATTATATCTTGTTGTAATGCAAGACAGGAAATAAATCCAGCGTGTTTACCATTCATACGAAAAGGTCATCCCTGAAGTTTGCATCATCATTTCATTTCTACCATGAACTTCTCATATTCTGCATCTGTACTATAGCTGCTCTTCTCCGTAGATGATGAAGGTGCAGGTACAGGTGGATTTGAGGCCAAAGGAACATTATTCAAACTTTGTAAAGGATCAACAGTTGGCTGAGGCACAGCAGGAGGAGGGGGAGGGGGAATTGAACCATAATAAGATGGGTAACTGTATGAAGGCATTGGGTACACAGCTTAGGCATTTGGTGGCACGGATGTCACAGAATTTCCATAGACATAAGTCGAAGCAGATTGAGCAGGTGCACTACTCTGAGATTGCACTCCAGACGCATAATTTTGTAGGGTATCAAGAGAAACAGTCTGTGATGGGATACCAGAAGATGCTGGTGGCATTGGTGGGGGATTTTGCATCCCATATGGAGGAGGTGGAGGATAAAGGGTTGAACCCGGAGGAGGTGGAGGATAAGATGCATAAGGAGGAGCCACAGGTGGTCCCCATGGAACTGGAGCCCCAGTATAGCCCCTGGTGGTGCACTACCAATTGGACCGCTGGTATTATACTGCTGAGATGAGTAGGCACCAGGAGGCTGATTTGGAGGATATGTAGGCATTGCTGGAGCAGGAGGGCCAGGTGGCACATTAGGCTGAGGAGGTCTACCGGCAACTCTCACTGCAATTGTTCTCCCATCTAGTCTGTGGCCATTCATACTCACATTGGCATTATTAGCTTGTAGGACATCAGCATATTTAACAAAGCCATATCCTTTACTCAGACCAGATAGGCGGTCCTTGATAACCTTAGCCATCACAATTTCACCAAAGGGAGAGAACAAGCTGTTCAAACCATCATCATCCATAGCAGGTGGCAGATATCCAATATACAAATTTGTCTCGTCATGTTCCTTTGGCTTGATTATGCTAGACCCCAAACCAGCTTGTGTAGTGTTATTACTACTTGCCCAAGGAGGATTGGTTCCTGAACTGCCAGGGCCAAGGGCAAGCGTTGCAGAGTTTTGCTTGGTTGCAGACTCAGGAACAGTGCCTCCCAATTCTGCCAAGAAGTTCTGATATTCATCATCCATTTTCTTGCCCGTCGTATTCTTCACTGGGCAGTCAATTGTAGGATGCCCACCATCACCACAAATCTTACATAAAACATCACTCTTAAATGTTGAAGAACGAGAAGGACATGCATACTGCCGATGCCCCGGCTCGCCACACAACCTACAATACTCCTCATCCCTAATAGTACCATTCAATGCAGCGAGCTCCTTAAGCTGTTGTCATTTATGTTCATTGAGAACCTCATCAACCGGCTGCAAGAGCTTCTCAACCATACCTGCAGCAGCATCAAGAGCCTCCTGAGTTTCAGCCTCCACCAAGACATGCAAATCCTCGTTTTCTGAAGGATCAGGGCTTCAAATTCCTATTCTGCTGCAGCCTACCTTCTTTCGTTGAACCTTTACCCCGAATCACAATCTTTGCTCCCATCTCTCTTTCCATCCTCTTCTGAGTATTCCCTCTTGGTCCAATAATCAGTCCAATAAATTTATAACCTGGATACTCTTTCATTGGGATGTAAAGCTTCTTCTGAAGCTTAGGCGGCCTATAATCTGCAGGTGGCTTAAAGGCAGGATTTTTCTTAATTATCTGTGATATAATTTCTTGTCTCTCCCTATTCAATTTTTCACGAGCACGATACTCCCTAGTATTAATCCTGATTCCCATGTTATCATAAATAGGTTCCGGAGAAGGCGACCTAGCACCCTCAGGGCGGTCATCCAAAGGTAACCCAGATTGCAATTTCCTACTAATTTCAATTAACCTACTATTCAGAGCTTGAATCTCGGGATCAAATTCAATACCTCCAGTAAAATCCTTCATGAAATCAGGCAATTGAATCACGGGCTTGGGCTCGTCATCAGCCCATCTGGACTTCCGCTTCCTACCACCAGTCCCACTATTATCATCAACTCCTCCAGTTCCAACCCCATCGTTGCTCGATTCGCTCGGCAGAGGATCCCACCGGGACCTCCGCCGCTTCCTGCTGGTCGTCTCCTCTTCGCCTCCAGAGAAATCCCTGTCGGTGCTATTGGTCAACACATTTTCTGAAACCAAAATCTTCGGCATCTCGGGTTTGACGCACTTCCATTCCGATCTCCATCTTCAATAGTTGGGTTAGGTGTATTTTCTTCTGGATTTGATGAATCTAAGGTTTTTTGTAATGGAGTTTCGGGATGTGAATCCGATGGGATGTCAAACGAAATCGAAATCACGTATTCTTAACACCATTTTGAAGTACTAACAGCCTAGTTTAATGCATTCCTAACCGCGTGCGAAATGGCCAACCGCATTAAAAGTTACCACTCGTCGAAAAAGTCATTTTCAACCGTAGAAAATATTGTATTTTTGGCCACCTCTTCATAGTCGCCGCCACCTTGTTTTTCTCCAGGCATACCATGTTTCTTTTGAATTTGCTTAGTTTATTGCAACCTTAACAGAGTGCGAAACGGTCAACCATAGCAAAAGTTACCACACGTCGAAATAGACCGTTCCAAAATAAATAAATGTTTTTTCTTATTTTTATCTCAATTTTCGGGGTTATCACGGAATGTCAACAAAATCGAAATCTCGTATTCTTAACACCATTTTGAAGTACTCACGGCCAGTGGCGGACCCAGCATTGAAGTTCAGCCCGGGCGAACGTTGACCGGTCAACATCGACAATTAGCGATCGTAAAAACGAGATCGTTTATTAATATTTTATGAAATAATATTAAAAATTACTCAATATTTTCAAGTGCTATGATTTTAGTGTTAGAATCTTACAATGTTTTGCATCATAGTTTTGGAGTAATCTGTATACAAAAGTTTTTCATTATTTCTTCTCAATGAGTATTAATTATCACTGTCCATATAACTACTAAGGGCTTGTTTGGTGAAGTTTTTGTTTGCTAAAAAACTGATCAAACCTAATTTTTAACCACAAATTATTCATAACTTTCATCCAATGTTTCACCTAACATTTCATAGAATAGTTTGAATGTAGTGTCATTATATTTTGTTGGTAATGTAAAAGTGAAAAGTGCCAACATTCATAAATCCAATTCCAAATCCAAATTTCCAAATCCAATTCCAAACCCTAAATCCAATTCCAATTCCAATTTTAATTTCCCCCAATTCCAATTCATAAACCATACATGAAACAACACTGAAATTTGGATAAAACATGATTTCATAACTCATAAATAGATAATAACACCAAAAACAAAAACAAAAAAACGATGGGCAGAAATGAGAAAACTCACGGCAAAAATCCAGAATCATAGCAAAATCCAGAAATATTCATGGGTAGCACTACTAGCACAATGCACAAGCACAGAAGCACTAGCAAGTAGCAAATAGGAAATAGGCAAATATAAATATTGATTTCAAATTTATAAGGAATCAAGGGGCAAGATTTTTGAGCTAATACGGTAATACCTGTACAGGCAGCCGCAGGCAGAACGCAGAAGAGACGAAGCTCCAGCCTCCAGCTATTGCACCACCGTCCCCCGTGACTCCGTCCGCCTGTCTCGACGGCGTCAAATACTCACAGCCACAGGACCGCACTCAGACCTCAGTGGAATTGCGCCCTCGTCAGTCGTCCGTCTCCCTCCTCTGCCGGACCTAAATGAATTGAATTTGGTTTTGTAATTGTTGTGGCTAATGGACTTTCAAATTTCAACCCATGGATTGCAGGATTGGGCTCATTAATTAGGCCTTATTTTTTAAATAAGGCCCAAACAAATGAAACAATAAGAACGGTGGAAAAAAAATTACAGCGTGTCTTCTTCATCTTTCTTCACGGCGGACGGCGAGTAGACGGCGAGACCTGAAGATTCCAATGGACCTAGCACGGGCGGCCGCGAGGGCTGGCCAGGTGCTGGGTCCGCCCCTGCTCACGGCCTTAATTTATTGCATTTCTAATCGCGTGTGAAACGGTCATCCGTAACAAAAGTTATCACTCGTCGAAATAGGTCGTTCCAAAATACATAAATATTTTTTTCTTATTTTTATCTCAATTTTCGGGATTATCATAGGATGTCAAACGAAATCGAAATCTCGTATTCTTAACATCATTTCGAAGTACTCATGGCCTAATTTATTGCATTTCTAATCGCGTGCGAAACGGTCAATCGTAACAAAATTTATCACTCGTCGAAATGGTCGTTCCCAAATATATAAATATTTTTTTTTTTTATTTCAATTTTCGGGGTTATCACGGGATGTCAAACGAAATCGAAATCTCGTATTCTTAACACCATTTCGAAGTACTAGCGGCCCAGTTTATTGCATTTCTAATCGCGTGCGAAACGGCCAATCGCTAGCAAAAGTTACCACTCGTCGAAATAGGTCGTTCCAAAATATATAAATGTTTTTTTTCTTATTTTTATCTCAATTTTCGGGGTTATTACGGGATGTCAAACGAAATCGAAATCACGTATTCTTAACACCATTTTGAAGTACTAACAGCCTAATTTAATGCATTCCTAACCGCGTGCGAAATGGCCAACCGCATCAAAAGTTACCACTCGTCAAAATAGGCTGGCCAAAAATACAATATTTTCTACGGTTGAAAATGACTTTTTTGACGAGTGGTAACTTTTTTACGGTTGGCTGTTTCGCACGCGGTTAGGAATACAATAAACTAGTCTGTGAGTACTTCGAAATGGTGTTAAGAATACGAGATTTCAGTTTAAAATAAAACTAGAATTCAAAATATTTTGATAATACTAAATTAGATAGGTTTCTGCTTACTAATTCAGACATCGTAATTATTCATTGAATTTTTATAAACTCAATTGATTTGTCGTATCCATGTACACTATAATATTTGGGTTCATACATCGTGTATGTATTCATTATTTCATCAAATCTCACTATTTAAAATTTCATGATTCGTATGGCAAATCCTACGCAAATTGGAAGTCTCGTAATATGGTAGGAGACACGTATAACTTTTTAATACAATACCGTATGATATACAAAAGTTTCAATAAGAAGTAATATATCGAGATTAATTTTGACTAGTCAAATCTAATATCTGAAATTACCAGAATATTACAATCAAAAGGCAAGTTTTCTCATTTTCATTCCTTATTAAAGAATCGGGTACGTTTCAATATCTGGAATTTATCCAGATCCCATTGCAAGATTTCTTTATCAAAAAACAATGCAATGCAGTGATAAATGCAGATATTTTGAGTTAGGATCACAATTAAATTAAAATAAATAGATTTGCGAAAAATATTAAAATATTCGATATCTTATTACAATTGTTCTCAACGCATTTTCATACTTACATAATGTTCCATAACTGATACAAACAATCAATTTAAACAAGAAAATACAAATTTACATTTAAAGAATTTGTCCATAACTAATACAAATAATCAACTAAAACAATCAATTCAAGTAAATGAAAGGAAAAATATACAACCAATATTCGATGCTAATTATCAATTCAAATAAATACAATTCAATAAATGTAAGCTAAATTGGACATAACCATATTCCAGTACCATTCTATTTACAAAATTCAAAAAATCATTTCAAATCCATTCTAAATCAATATATAAAATTCGAAAATCATTCTTGAAAACAAATTATATAACTCAAACCAATTTTCTCTTATCATTTTGAATTTTGGTAAAAAATAAAAATAAAAATTTGAATTATAAGTTACTATCGTCGACCTTTTGATTACTTAATAGTAAACGTTATCGAACTGTATGTTTAATCTCCAGATATAGATAAAAGAATGGAATAGTCAAGGAAAATGTCATTCGATTTTCTCGAGAAACAGCAATAACCTTGCTATTTCCTATGCTCGTGCACTAGGTGCAATTTTTGAGTCCCTTAAGCATATTATCTATTTTTACCTCTTCTTTCATCCTTTTATGTGACTTTAAACCCAAAATTAAAAAAAAAAATACAGAAAATAAAAAAATTGGTGGGGGCACGTGAACCCCATGCCCCCACCCTCCTTCCGCCATTGCGTTGCAGTTTGAGATAACAAAGATTTCTTTATTTGAGCAAATTATACCAACTGTACAGAGTTAAATTAGGGCTTCATTCATGCATCGGTAGCACCACATATGACTTACCATAACGCAACAGCGATTTTCTCTTCAATTCATAGAAAGAACTGATCGAGTAAGGGGTAAGTTTGTTGTAAAAACTTAGGGGTCGTTCTCTTCGTGTTTTAGTTTTGTGTTTTGAGTTTTGAATTCATTTTGGATTTCTGATTTTGTGTTTTGAGTGTCCATTTTGAGATTGTTGAAAATGTGTTCTTTTTGGCATTTTGAAAAATTATTTTCGAAAATAAACAAAACCAAAACGTGTTCTCTTTTTCTTCATTTCCATTTCATTTTGGGTCGACGCCTCTCTCTCTCTCTCCTGCGAACGGTGCTCCCGAGATCTCCCTGCGAGCGGTGGTGGTGGTGTGGGTTTGGGCGCTCCCTGCGATCTCCTTCTTCATCTTTTTTTTTTGGTCCTTTGATGCGATGGTTGGTTGGGTTGTGCGGCGATGGTTGCGTCGCGACTTGGCGATGGTTGGTGCAAGCAGTGGCCGTGGTTGGGTCGCGATTCTAGTGGCGATTTTGTGATAGTTGGTTCGCCATTTTGGCTGGGCGGTGGTGGTTTTTCTGGTGGCGATTTTGGCTGTGGCGGTGGGGGTATTTCTGGGGTGACGATTTTGGCTGTGGTGGTGGGGATTTCTGGTGGCGATTTTGGTGGTGGTGGTGAAGTGGTGGTTGGAGATTTCGACAGAAGCAGTTATGGCCAATTCAATTTTGGAGGATGATTTTTTATTGATTTTTGTATATGTTTGGATAGTGGTTTGTGTGGTTATTGAAGAAGGGATCGAGGGCTTCACAATGGTATGCAAATCCGGTGGTGGTGGAAGAGGATGACCGGAGTTTAGAGGATTGGAAAGTGGCTGCTCCATTGTTTTGGCAAAAGAAGGAACAGTGGCCTTTTTAAGCTATTTCCCCGCTTTTTGGTTGTTTTCGTGGGATTAGTTTGAAAACGTCCAAAACGATGTTTTTCTCGTTTTGTATTTTGTGTACAAAAAAATTTTTCATTTTCAAAAACGTGTTTTCACTGTTTTGAAAAATCGAAAATAGAAAACGATCCGAAAACGGTAAAGAGAACGGCCCCTTAATGTTTGTTGCATATTCTAGAACTTATCTAGAATTTACTAGGAATCGTACTATCGAGAATTATCTAGACTTCGTTATGGAACAAGTAAAATTAATAAATACATTAACTAAAAATAGAATGATCTAGAATTCATTCCACCGACTTTGATTGTCTTTAATAGCTGTGATTGGATTCAAATATTGTATTGAAAAGTAGATTGGTAGACAAGAGGTATGTAGTAGTACTATTTTTTTAAAAATTATTTGATTTATTTAATTAATATTTATTAGCATGGTTGAAATTTTATTCACATGTTTAATTTTGGATATATTAATGATTTATTTCAAAAACAATAATTTATGGTAATTTACTATTTAGTAATTAGTTTCCCGCTAATTAAAACAAATATAATAATCAGTTAAATTTTAAGCAAATTCAAAGTGTTGACAACTTTGCAGGGTCCGTCATGGCAAAAAATTATGGGGGATGATAACGCAAAAGGAACAATAATTTCAAGTCAAATAATTTGATAAATAATAATAATAATAATACCGACACACCTAATTATGCAGGTAATTATTTCTAAAAACAAATAATAAAATACTGAGGATTTTATTCATTTGATAGTACATTTAAAATATTCAAAAAAGAATAAAAATATTACCTTTTTATTTATATGCAATCCAGAAACCCAGTATTGGTTGGAAATATCGCACCCATATGGTTTCATTTATGAAAGAAACTTAAGAATCGTTTTTGAATGCAATAATGTCGAAAGGATTACTGGTGATTTCATGTTAATGTCAATAATGTGGCCATCCGATTGGGGTTCTGACCCCCTCTGCAAAATTTACTCACCCAGAGAAAAAATTTGGAAAGATGGAGGGAGAATAAAGGTTGGTGCAGGCCGAGATATTTGCTACGAAACAACGTTTTGTCAGAATGGAGTGGTATATTTACTTTCCAACAACGGTCCATATTTTGGAGAAGACAGTCCATTCTTTTGGCCATACATTGTGGCTTATGATGTCGAGAACAGCATTACAAAGTTCTTGAAATTGCCTGAAAATTCAAGGAGATGTATTCACGATCTAGATTGCAGACTAAGTATTTTTAAGTGGGGAAATTCAGGCAATTCTATGCGGTCTATATGTTTAGTCAAATTGTACAATAATGTGTTTAGCATCTGGGTGCGAACTGATAAAGAAAAAAGTTCATGGCATCAGGTTTTTGAGATGCACGTAGAAGATATGGGATTGGAGGGATCTGATCTAGCGGTGGCCGGTTTTACGGTTCTGAACGGAAAAGTTCTGCTCATTGCAACAGAGTCAATGGTTTATCAGTACAATTTGTCAAGTGAGAACAGTGGAAAAGTCGAGAAAATTTGTGAGCATGCATGCGGGAAAGATGTGTTTTTCCATTCCTTTTCGAGTACCCTTCGTTCACGTGGAGATGCTGCAACAAAATTTGCTGCATGTTAGAGCCTAGTTTTCTTTGATTAGGTTTAGTTTTCAGTATTTATTTTTGTACGTGATGTATTCAAATTGGGTTTGTGACTTCTAATTTTTACGTTCCTTTTAATTACTTATTCTCAGCCTCATTATCTGAATGAAGTTTAAATAGAGATAGACTTCTGCCAAATAAATCATAATCATGTATTAAACTGGAAACCAATGGATAATCTGATTTATAAGAAACATACGGATAACTAATCCTATAATGGCAAGGATCAATTATGCAATTTAATTTGACAAGTAGCAATGTTGGACATATCGTTGACAAAACCATTAGCGATGTTAGTAAGTCCCTGTTTGTCTGTCATTATTCAAAAAAATTGTTTGTTAGAGTAAGATTTTTCACCACATATTCACCCAATAAAATATTCTACACACAAATCAATAAAATTACTTTAAATTTCAACCACACATTTTTCAAAAAATATTATTCATTACTCTATTTTTCTCCCAGAGAAAAAATGTGCTTGTCAGTTGCATTAATTCCTCCAAAATCTATGTGTTTGGTGCATACACGTATACTTTTTTCTTTGAGCATATGGTTGTATAATTGATTTTTAAACATTTTAACTTTTAGCATTTTGACTTATTAGTGTGTGTAATTTAGGTTTCAAAAATGCTAAACGAGTATGTGGCCCTGTACGTTTAGCATAGGTTTTTATATGTGACATGATGGCAAAGCAAAATGTAATAATTGATTAGAAGTATTAAATCTTTACTAAAATAAAATAAATATTTTCGATTGTTAATGAATAAACAATAGGTTTTTATTTATTTCGATTAGTAGACCCAACCTAGTTCGGGCAAATTTCACGAAGTAAGCCATATTCAAAATACTATATTTAATAATTTTTTTCTAGAAAGATTTGTTTTTCCATTCCTAGAAAGTAAAAATAAAATAAATAAGAATTCAGAGGTCAAATTGTTGGAATGTAGTATTTGAACGTAAATTTCTCAAGATCTTTTCAGTGAAATCAATATACAAATCATTTAGACAAGGAAGATTTCTTCGTCAGAAAATAGTTCAAAAACACGCCGTAGTCTAACGATAAACATTTCTTGATTCATGTCGAAGGTACAAAGATAAACTAGAGCTTCATTCATGCATTAGTAGCTCGACATGTTTTACCCGTGCCTTAAAATTCTTACAGTTATGTAGAGTCTATAGCAAGAGCAGGTAGGCTTCTAGATTCTAGTAATGGCAATTTTACAGTGAAAACTTAAGCCCTTGTTTGACAACCACACATTCGTAGCAAAGAAGAACCAATATTTGTATTTAATCCAGTTAGCAAAATATTGGTTAGAAATATGGGAATCTAAAGTGCTTTGTGAAAAGATCTTGACAATCTAAAAATGGAAGAATGAAAGTCCATTCATGAGTTCTCTTTCACGAGTCTAGGAGATGGTAAACCAAATCAAAAGTTGCGGAGATACAATCTAAGACAAAAGGGTCGTCGAAAAAGTGCATAGAAGTCTTCCTCCAAACTTTGATCATGCAGCTGCAGCAATTGAAGAATCTAAAGACTTGTCCAGAATGATAGTGTACGAATTGACTGGGTCTATTCTACACGTTATCAAAGAATAAATCATACAGCAAATCAAGTTTCTGAACAGGCCTTTCGGTCCAAGTTTTCAAGTTTAAGTAGTCATGGTGGCTTATATCAAAAGCAAGGACAATCCGGCAACTGAAAGAAAAATGAGGAACATTACGAATGGAAATGCAAATCACAGAAACCCGATAATTCTCAATCTTGCATTATTTGCAAAATAAATAAACCCACTTGTCAATGGAACTTGTCAAAGCACTCGTAATGTTAATGAAAATATTTCGTTTCTTAGAACCATAGAATCTTACCATGATACTAACAAACCAATTGTTGAGCAAATTGACGACCTCTTCTTCCTAAAAAGAATCCTCCACAGTGCTTTTGATCTTTAATAAGTGATAAAGTGCTAAAATAGGTGCGAAATGAAGTAAAGTTGATTGGACATAGTCAAATCTTCACTTCTGCTCACCAGAGGCAATAGTGGATCTGAAACATAAATATGTAACTTCTTCCCTGCTACAGCTTCCCACTTCTGCCTCCTCCCCTATCACCCCTTCTTCCCTTTCTCTTTTCTTGCCAATTTCGCTGCTTGTCAATAGGTGAAAGGGTGTAGTGGCTGCGAAAGGGAGGACGGAGAAACTGGGTACGGACATGGAGGAACAGTGGGGAAAATGGCGGGGGAGGACAGTAGAGGGTTGGGTTGCATGTAAACAAAATTCTAAACAAAAATTAACTAGCACCAAAAAATGAGCTCAAATTGCCTTCTACTTTGGTCTTTAAATTCAACAAACATAAATGTGAATCATCAGAAGTTGCCTCAGTAGGACTTCGTTGATATCTACAACAAAATGATAAATAGTACATATCGAATGCCTAACGACAACTGAAAAGAGACACCCAGATCGATAGAAGAATAGGATAGAACACTAAAGTTTGGAGTTAAGGTTTGTGCACAAGAATTCGATCTCCTGAAAATTGACGCAATGAGACAATGCATTTGTGAGCTTTCTCAAATCATCCAATGTGTGTACTGCGCTCAGAGTTATCCTTAACCTGTAAGGAGCAAAACCAATATTCATCAATAGTGGATAGAAACAAAACCAAAACTCCAAGTTTGTACTCGTGTCCTCAACTAGAAAACTCAACAAAATTTCCAAGTTGATTTCCAAACACACGCCAAACTGAAACTTTCCCAGCTTTAGTTGCATTAAGGCTCTTCTCTCTTTTGGAACCTTGTTCCCTAAATCTGTCTTTTAGCCCAAGGCTTTTGGACAAAACTTCTTACTTCAATAGGTTAGTGAGCCACCTCTTCTAGTTTCAGGCAAGGATCTAATCCAACGGTTTCTAACTAATCAAAATGAGGAGACGTTTTCTTAACCAGGAAACAGGTGCAGGATATGGCAAAAGTGGCGAGAATTGCAGATTGGCACCAGACAACAAGATCTTAAATTTTTTATTTCATTATCTCCTGTTTGGAAGGACTAACCAACATTCATATTATGTTTTGGTGTAAATAAGATGACCCTACACAATAATATTAAAGAACTGAACCTACAAAAGAATTGCATCTACCTCGTTATCGAACAACATAAGTGAAGAACTGGCCCAAATAAACATATTCCCCCTCTACAAGAACCCTAAATTACAGGTATCGCAAATAGGACCACCAAAGAATGAGTGAGTCGCCACTAAAATTCAAAGACATACAAATGCAACAAACCTGCAGGAGTTTGGTGGCACTGTTGGGGGCCTGATTGCAGTTATGTGAAAACCTAATTTCAAAAGATGCCTGATTCACAGTGATTACGACAGTTAGGAACATCACCAAACTTACATGGGGAACCATAAAATGAGAGAGAGTGGGGGGGTGAGAGAGAGAGACCGGCTAGCTTGTATGGCCTTCTCTTCACTGCCCACAACAAGTGAAATTATAGGACTTGTGACGGGGATTCCTGTCAAAGCTTGGAAGTCTCTCACTCGGTTCCAGATAGCTCTTCTACGCCATCTCTCCTCCTTTGCCACACTTACAGCCGCTACAAAAGTTATATTAAAACAAGAAAATGCAGCTTAATCAATAGCAGAAGGCCCCATTTAACATCCTATTAAGTTCTCAATTTTACTTATTTTAACCATAACCACGAACTGATATACTGTAAACCTGGATGATGGTATGAACAAATGTTTTTTCAAAGGTTAAAAATTAGTAGTGATTAAATGTGAGATACTATGGTAGAGTGATAAACCATGCAAAGGAACATTCTCATATACTTGTACAAAATCTAACCATGAGCCGCGGCAACAACAGGCACCGGTGTTGATGTTGAAAATATGAAAGAACGACCCCGTGATTGTATAAGCAGCTTCCACTTCTTGCTGTCCATTTGACATGTAAATGAAAAGGCATAAATATATTTGATATTCAGATATTCAAGAAAACTGTAATTATACTTGTTTCAAGAGCTGCATTGATTGATTTGCATTTTTCTTTTGCTAGAAATGGGAAATATCAAATGAATAATTAATGCTAGAATTCCATGACAGAGGCAATGTCTTGTAAGCATTTGATATTTCCCATAGCTAATTGCACAACTTTCAGTCGTCATTTCTATTGAAGGGTAAGATTCATCTTATATAATCCACTTTGAAAAGTAAAGCAAAATGTAACAATGCACAAATTTTTGCATACACAAGTTGTCGTTCAAAACTAGGGATGGCAGTGGGCCCTACCCATTCCTGAATACATCCAAATACCTTGTCCTAAACACATAATGGGTATGGAAGAATACATCCCATTCTCGTCCCAGTTAAATACACGCCACCAGTTGGTATCTGGTTATTTCCAATTTATCAACGAAGAGCATTACATGTTCACTATTGGTCAAAGTACAGTGAAAAACAAAAATCAATTTTTGTTACTGAATTACATCAAAGGGTATCTAAATTTACAGAATTCCTAGTTTTCAAGAGTAAAATGATGATTCTGATGCTCAACGATTCAAGCAGAAACAACTCAGACAACCCAAAAATAAATAACATAAAGATTATGATGGTGATAACAATTTCAAATATGGGAACCCGAAGAAAAGTATCACTATTTAGGGGGGAAAGAGGACTACGGATACACAATCCAAAATGATATAAAAATATAGTAAATTTTATATTTCGATATTACTAAGTTTCAAATAAACAACGAAAAACCTAATGAGCCCACTTATTGAGTCTTCTTCGATGGGGAAGCAAATGGCGGAGGAAGCAGATATTACTGAGGGAGATGAAGATGGGAGAGAGTCGGGGTCATGGCTAAGAGTGAGATGGATTGAGAGGGAGGTGAGAAACAGAAGTCAGAATGGATTGTAAGTTTCAAGTCTTCTCATTGATCTAAATATTTAGCCCCCGTTTGGTTTGGATTAAAATCCAATT